ATGTACAGGGAACTTTCAATTCTGGGGTGATTTAGATTCACTTTGGCTGTAAGTAAACAGTAATGCAGCTCTTCTAGCACAAAAATAAGTACAGTGTGATTTACTGGAGACCTCTAACACTTAACAAGATAATTTTTTAAAGATGACAATGAACTAGTGATATATAGACGATCCAGTACCTTCATGCAATTGAAAGGAAACATCAATCCATGCTAGTAGTAATGTACATCAGTTATCCCATACAAAGTTGCTTAAGCTGTTCTGTGCCCCTATGATTGCACACTGACATGCTTTAACATGTCAACACTCACCATCAAACAGAAGTCCTGCCATAAGCCCCAACAGGAAACCAAGGTTCAACATGTCATATACTGTGAAAAGCTTACAGAAGGAGAAAGGGTAAAGGAAAGTCCTCAGCAAAGAGAGAGATCAGTGAGGCAAAACATATGAAGGAGCAGAAGGAACCAATTAAGACTCTGATAAATTTAGCACTCTTTGATCAATAAGGAGTGGAAAGCATATTTTATGTATTAACCCATGCCACATTTTTATAAACTCGTGTTATTTTTAGGTTAGTACTACACTTGCATACAAACAGTCCTACTCAGAAAGGAAAAATTCTTTTCCATTTTGATTTTACTTGAAAGTCGATTGTAAACACCAGGCTGAGCACTGAAGTTTTCAACACTGGTAGGAGCAGGGCTGTCTAGAGGGATGCTGCAGCACTTGTTTCAGTGGAATGTGTCACCACTACATGAAAGAGAGCTGTGTAATATTCTTTCCATCTAACATTACATCAAGTGATTCACACCAACATTCATTTATTAAACTTAACCTTTTAGTACAGCTTATGAAACATGGTGCAGTCTTCAATTAGGATTATTATCCTTTGAGTTTTCTGCAATAAAAGGTAATGCATAAAACTACTTTCTATTGCTTTACATGCCCCTAATCTTCCCTAAACCCGATGAAGAGGCAGGAGTACCTTTGTAACATTGAGGCTGCTCCCAGCCACATAACCTCAGGCACAAACCACCTGAACAACACACTTTGACTGCTTCCTTTCCCTTTGCTCTTAAATAAACTCAGTACTCCTCTAGTACTGTCTGTCTGATTCTGCCCACCAGGAGATGCTTCAGAAGAGCATGAAGAGTGGGCACGTGTGCCATGATCTGCCTCCTGAAAGAGTTTTCCCATGTTTCTGCTGCTTGCTGTTCTATACACTCCTCCTTGCAGGCAAAATGGGCTGCTTTGGTGAGTTTGGCTCCCAGCAGCACTCCAAAGCTCAGTCCAGGTGTGGAAAATGCAAGAAGGTATTTACAAACTGTGCTTTCTGGATTTGGATTGCTGCTTAAACAGATGGTCAGATATTCTCTGGAGCACTGCAGAGCATAAATTACTTCTAAAACAGTAATTGCAGATCATAGCAATGAAGCAGCTAGACTAAGAATAAACACAGCAAATGTACACTCACCAGAGCCACTATATACACATGTACACACACACACCCATACACACACACACTTGGCAGTGGCAACAGCTCAAATATAACTAGACTAAAAGCCATTTCTGAAGATGTTTCTAAGGTTACTCGGTTAAAACTGAGTCATTGCACACTGTTGCATGTCTCATTTGAAATTCAGGATGAAGTCTAAGAATTGCCATTTTTAAAATTTCAAGTTGTTTCATAATCAAATTTGTAGGAAATTAATATAAATAATGCCATATCTTTAGTTAAGTCTCACATAGATTATGTTTTGGGTCATCCATGTAACTTTTTACTTGCATTTTTTTTTTTTAATGGATCTTATCTGAATGTGTTCACTTTTAAATATCTAAGTCTGGCACTGATACAGTTTGGCTTGTTCAGCACACTGAAACCCAGTAGTATTCGTGAACTAGATTGCTCCAGGACAAATTTCTAGTATAATGCAAAAATAATTAAAACAAATGCATTATTTGTGTTTCTAGTAATTACTACAAATAGTTATTTTTTATTGCCAGATATAAAAAGATTACTTAGTATAACATCATCTCTGTGATGACACATACATACCAATGCAACTTCACATTAATCACAGCAGGCAAGCCATCAATCAGTGCAATGTGACAACTGTTCTCCATTCCTCCTCCTCCTCTCTCTCTCAAAAACCCCAAAAAACTTCAACGCATCTTTGGATGTTTTGAACAAGAAACTTTGGATGTTATTGAACATTAGCTTTTCAAAATACAATTACTTGCTCTGCTTCTCAGTGGGTTCGATTTCTAACACAATGACTGAAAAACTCCTACAAAAATACAATATACTTAGGGCTGAAATTCCAAACCTATTCTGAGCAAAAATACAGAAAAAAAGGAAAAAATTAAGATTGCCTTAGTAGTATCTGTAACATCTGATCCTAGCTAACTCTAAAGCATATGCTAATTTTAAACCTTTGAGTAGTCCCTTGGCTAAAATGAATCCAGTGAAAGTCTAGAAGATTAGTCAGGCACTTAACACTGCTAGAAATGTGTAACTCTGTGATGGCAGCGAGGCCACCGGAACATGCATAAGAATGGCAGTGGAAAATAAGGGGTAGGGGCACACCACAGGAAACCTTTGCAAAAGAATGGATCATGGAGCTCATGTGATAGAGCTCCTTTCAAGGACCACTTGAAAGGCATGTCAGGACTGTGGGGGAAAAGAAAGGGTATTTACTAACACACTGTTGCTTACACTGAGTCTTTGAAGTAGCCACACTGTCTCTCTCTAAGTCCGACATCTAATACTTATTCAAGTTACACGATTTTCCATTTGTTATAAAATAAGACAAGGAGGGTTATTACGTATCTTAAAATCAAATCCCTTAGGGATGAGTGACCTGGTAGATTGTTACGTTTGTTATGATCAGCCCAGCACTTGGCAAAGTTAGCATTGTTTTATCAATTTTTACAAACTCAACAGCAAACTCAAATGGTCAATCACTACTTCCCTCCCATAGGAAAATCCAAACAAAAATACACCAGCCATTTCTGAAATGCATGTATCACCTATATGCTTTTTCTTTCACCAAAGTCATAAATCAGTAAATCAGGCAGCAGCCGGCTTTAAAAAGATGCAGGTTATGCAAGATGCAGAAGTCTTATCAAAAGCTTTTATTTAAAAGCAATCCAAGACAATGAATGTCAGTTCCTTAACTTTTATTCAAAACAAAGTAGAAAATTCTATTAGGAATGTCTATAGAAGCATTATTGGCCAAGAAGGCCAAAAGACCTAAAGATCTAGCTTAGGACAAACAGCTTCTGTAGGACTTCAGAATTATTATGCTGCACCTTAATCCCTAAATAAAAAAAGTTTTGGACTAAGCTACCATCATAGATTTGATGCTGCAATGCTATAAAGATGCCATCTTAAAAAAAAAAAAAAACACCAAACCAAACCCAAACCCTTAATACAACACAAATGTCAATGCTAACAGTCCATAAACTGGAAAAAGTACTGTGCCTGTTGGAAACTTCCCAAAGCAAAGACTTTTATCCTAGAATAAAGGTAAGAAAAATAAGGTAAACACTAATAGCTCATAGCCACAGGTATGTAGGTTTAAAATCTATTTTTTTCTTCGTTCCCTTGACGCTGACAGTTCCACCCATGCCTTTTTAGACTCAAACTCTTGCTATATGATGAAGTTAGAAAACTCCTAAAACACAAAGTCTGTGGCAATTCTAAATTTCCACTGTACAAAGGTAGTATTTAGTACTTGTAGCCAAAAGTGTGCTGGACTACAGCAGGAAGTTGTATGAATATAAATGGTAAATAAACCGCTTCATATTGTGAGACTCAGTATTTGACAATAGGTTTGATATAAACATCCCGAGATCTTTAATTTCACCTTAATTTAATGATACTGCCACTTTACTCATTCAGATATATATATGTGGTGTTTTATATATATATATATACATATATATATATATATATACACAAGGATATAAAGTTTTAAAATCCCTGCCCTTTAAATAGGAAAAAAATCCAGCAAATACTTATTACAAGGAGATAGATCAAAACTGTATTTTATTATTAGTTAATTCCATCTGTGTGTTTAGACACACAGGAATTATATAGGATGCTGACAACAGCTGGAATGGGGGAGGGGAGGTGGGTGAGAGGAGAAAGGGGGGGGTGAGGTCTTCAGAAAGAGAGTTGTGTACCTGACTGATAAAATCAGCCTAACTTCTTTATGGGTCGTATTTATCTTCAAATCTATTTATGTCACACAAGAGAACATATGAGCATAGCAGCTGTTACTATAGCAATGAAACAGAAAATTTTGAGAACACAAAAACTCTACCCCTGAAGGATGCTCAGTTTAGCAAAGAGATGGTTGAGAGAACAGCACACCAGTATCTCACTTCTTGGATCTGCTCAAAGTCTGCGTTTACAGAGACATTAAATCAGCTGTAACAGCCTGCTCCCCAAAGAGCACTCGGAGCCAAATCACCGCTGTCTCTTACTCGGCACGACTTGATACACTAGGCGTTCCTGCTAAGTAACCCCAAACTTGTCAAGTACGCCTGAGCCGCCTGTAAATCCGGGTAAGAGCGATTCCCTGCAAAAAGCTCAGAGGTTTTGATGGCGGCAGAGAAGAGATTCGCCATAGTAACAAACCCCCACCCGCACCGCGGGTCACAGCGGGGAGCGCGACGAGCCCCGCACTCCCGCCAGCAAGCACACCTGCCCGGCGCCGGGAGGGCCGGACGAGCCAGGAGAACTCAGGTACTTTGCTCGAGCAGCGGCAGGCAGCATCTCCGGGCACGACTCGGGATGAAACCCACCCGCAATTCTCCCAAGTGCCGTCTTCTGCCAAACGCCCCCCACTCCTTCCCTCCCGTCCCCGACCGGCGGCCCTGCCCCCCGCCTCTGGCCGTCCCTCGCCCTTCGCCGCCTCCCTCCGCGGGCGCGGCGGCACCGCGCAGCCCCGTCCTCCGCCGCGGACCCGAGGCGCTGCCGGCCGCGGTCTTACCTGCGAGGGAGCCGGGTCTCTGCAGGGTGGCGGTGGCGTACAGCTCCTGGGAGTGCTTGCTGTACTGATCGGCAGCGTGAACAAGCCGCTTGGTAGGCGACAGGGTGGCGTAAGTGCCGATGGTGGAGCTTAACTGGTGGATAGGAGAGGAGGAAATGTTAGACTGGACGGTGGGCGGGGAGGTCACTCGGATGGGGGACGGCGACAGTCCCGCCGAGGAGACGACGATGTTGATGGGCGAGCTGGTGCTGTAGGACTTGGCCAGGCGGCTGGGGGACTGCTTCGGGGAGGAGAGGCGCTGCGCGGTGGCGTAGGCGGCGCCCTCGGCGGCGGAGCCGGCCCGCGGCAGCTTTGTGGGGGAGCCGCCGGGCTGGGCGGGCAGCGGGGAGCTCACGCGCTGCGCCGGCAGCGTGGAGCTGGCGTAGTAGAGCGCGGCGGCGTGCTGGGGCTCGGGCAGGTGGAAGGCGCTGCCGTGGCTGGGCGCGAAGGGCTCCCGCGGCTGCGGGGCGGCGGGCGGCGGCGGCGGCTCCGGGCCGCCCGGGTGGGCGCCGCGGCCCCCCGGGCCCTGCTGCGGGAAGGAAAGGCAGAGGCGTCAGCGGCGGCGGGCGCCCGGCTCCCCCGGCCCTGCGCGGGGCGGTGCGGGCCCTCCGGCCCCACGCAGCCCCCTAACTGACCTCGAACCAGGCACCCGGCGCCCGCGGGATTACGGGAGTTGGTAATCTGCTAAAGTATTCCCGGCCTTTCAGGGGAAAAACAGCCGCCGGTTCGGGCCGAGAGGCTTCGAAACTCCTCCCGACGGCCGAAGCCGGTGCCCTGCCGTGGGGCACAGCGCTGCGGGGCGCCGGTTCCGCAAACGCGCTCGCTGCCAACCCCTAAACCAGGCAGGCTATAGCCCCGCTCAAATACTTACGTATGTACATATACACACATAAATATACTCGCGCCCCTTTATGCTGCATACATTAGAGAACGGTGGCCGAAGCCTCGGAAAAGCCTTTAATCGAGTAACTTTCCTCGGTTTCCAGCAATCTGTGTTCCTACGACGAAAGGCACCGCTCCAGGAGCCGCTGCCCACCGCGGCCCTGAGCTGCGTGAAGTGGCGGAGGGAGGGGCGGCCCGGGCCGGTGCACGCCGAGCCCCCCTGGCAGCACGGTCAGCGGCCGCCTCAGACTCATTTACGCGGCACGAAGGGGCGGGGGGTACGGGAGAAGCTGCCGGGACCGGGCGCTTCCCTGGGCCGCATCCAGCGGGGAATCTGCACAGAGAAGGAGGGACAGACCTCCCTGCACCGACCCGCTAGCCGCGGGTAAGGCAGCGCTGAGTTCCCTCTAAGACCAGTAATTGAGGGGGGCTGGGAAGACGGAGCGAGAGAAAATCCTCGGGAGATGCTGCCTATGAGATATTTCGGTTCTGTGCCTGAGCCGCTTCTGAAGCCGCAGAGGATGGAGCTCGCCCTCACACACAGGCAGCTCCTTTTTTTTTTTTTTTTTTTTTTTTTTTTTTTTTTTTTTTTTTTTTTATCGGGGATCTTAGGCTCAAGAGATCATCTGTGAGTCTGGTAACATTAAAATCCTCTCATAACTGCACCCTGGAGTGAGTGAGAGCTCAGCGCTCTGTTGGAAGATGCGCTGTTGGATTCAGATACTATTTTCTTTCTGGTTAGGCAGGGGATTTACTTGAAACCTCAGAAAGTACTCTGGATCCTCGGAGTTGACAGCATAGTTTGAATCGGTCTGACTGATGCTTTGCCCAAACACACGCATACGCCTCTCAGCTACTGCTTTCCTTATCCAGAAGAAGCTTTAAAATGTGAATAATGAATTTTGTGACTCAATTCAAAGAGGTGTTGTGAATGCCAACAGTAGCATTGTTACACATTGAATAGCAATGTAGTTTTCCAGTAGCATCGTACAAAAAAACTAGTGGGCAAAAGTACCATGTTCCTGGTAAGAAATTTGATTTATTTGCACAAGGATATTCAAAAAAGGATTTGGTCAGGAGCTGAGGACAACGTAACTAATTGAAGCAGAAAATAAACAAGATTCAAAATATCAGAAACCTATACTTCTTCCTATGTTCGCCCGCTGGAAATGTTTGTCTTTTTTTTATTTTTGGATCCTGCCTTTCATCTTAAATGCTTTGTGTCTGCAGGAAGACTATATACTTCCTAGACAGAGACAAGAAACAAGGTTTTGGAGAAGCTCTTCCTGGAGCTTTGCTCCCAGTTGTTAGTAGCATGGAAGAAGCTACCAGCACTGACATTGTTCAGGCTTCTTATGACAGCACTGCTAGACCCAAACCTCCCTGGCTTTGAGGTTTTGCACCTCACAGAGCAATGGCTTTATACATAAATGAAATGTAAACTGTTCCACTCCAGGTGCTCTGTATGGTGACTGCCAGGTGTGCTCACAGATGGAAGTAGCTGCTCTCTTTTGAGCTGGACTGTTCGGATTGCAGCAGCAAGTAACAAACACCACAGCTTCAAGTACAAGCACTGACAGTCTCAAAAATGGTCAATAAGCTCAAGTTGCTCATTTGAAAGACTCCTAAGAAAAACCAGGAAGGATAACTGGGGGAACATCAGTGCACTTTAAAAAGCTACTTTCACGCTGAGCTACTTACCGTATATGCTTTAAAGTGGAAAGAAGGACTAGCCTTCAGCTGACTGTCCAATAATGTATTTGACCGGAGTACAGTTTTCATTTTCCAGGTTTAGACTATATGGTAACAACTTATATTAAACAAAAACAGGTTGGCATGATTTAAGACAACATGGACAGAACAAATTTTGCACTTAACACAATGTCATTCAAACTAGCTACATTATCAATTGATATTTGTTAATAAATTTTACTTTTTGGACTGTTACGTAGCATAATAATAATAATAATAATAATAATAATAATAATAATAAACTTTGTAATAAACAGTGTTCCAAAATACAGTCTTCTGCAATGTTACCAGTGCACCAGTTACTTCTTCAGTGCACTGGTAATGCACTGGTAACTTTAAGAGTTTGCTGCTGATCCTCAGGGTTTTAGGCAAGCACTGTCATCATGTATACAAAATTTCTTTTTGTAATCTACTTCTACACTGCTTAATGTGTCAAGGATTTAGAGTAATTAATTTAAAGTAAACCAGTATTATCCCATATTCCTAATAAATCTCTATAAAGCTGGGGGCATTCTGCAAGCACTAATTCAAAAAAAACCTCAAAAATCCCATTTCATGATGATTTGTGTTCAGGAACAAGATGTAGTGGTGGGACACAATAATTAAATGCTTAATTAAAAATGCAGTATATAGCACGTCCTAAAAAGCTAAGCATTTGCTCTGTGTGAAGGAGAGAACTTATGGATGAACAGATTGCAATGACAACATTAGCATGCAATATTTTCTACGATGTGACTAAGCTCAGACCTGTCTTAAATGTACCGTGAGGTTCTTAGGTTTTTCAAAGGGCCAAGTGTGCAGTAACATTCTCCAGACATCTCCTCAGAGACAAATTGTGGTTTTCATTGTGTTTCTCCCTGTCTCTGGCTTAAGACAGACATAAAGACACGTCATTGTTCACCCTGCAATGTGACATACTTCATATGAAAAAATAAAATATAATGGTATTTTCCCCTTATTTTTTTCCATTTATCCATCATTTTTGTCAACCTGATAACAAAACTGTGTTTAAGCAAATAAACTAAGAGTAAATTTGCATCTCAGTAATTATATTCTCTATCATCATGCTACTTCATAGATGTGAATAAAAATCAAGGACTTTCTTACTACAGCCCTATGAATGTCTATTCCAAGAAACTGGGATTTAATTTCCCTGGCATCCCAATGAAAAGTAGCCTTGCTTATTTGGATTCAATATATGGATTCTGGTATATCCTTTTTAGAAAGAGGAATGTATGAAAAAAACATGAGACCATTAACACAGCTATAAAAATATTTTCTTTCCCATTTAATGTTGTTAAGATTATTTTCTACTGATTCAAAACAGTATCCTTAGCGCTTCATACAGAAAATTATTTGGGACATCCAGTTAGGTTATAGGAGACTGGAGAACAGTCTAACTCTTGTTTGCCTGTTCATTCAAATATTTAATGCCCTAAATTCCAGGAAATTAGTTGTTTGGGGGTTGGGTTTTTTTGATTTTTTTGTTTGGTTGGTTGGTTGTTATTGTGTGGGGATTTTTTTGATGTTGTTGTTTGGTTGTTTTCGGGGGTTTTTGTTTGTTTGTTTGGTTGGTTGGTTGGTTTTTTACAATCCAATTGATAGTTTAAATTGGAACTTTAACCAAGAAAGAGTAAATAAAAAACTGCAATATAAGATTTCTGTTCCACAGAGTAGAATTGAGAGGGGCAAATAACTGTGTTGACTTTTTTATTCTGCAGAAAATTTTTCATGGATAAGGAATTACAAAATGGCTAGACAACTTTAAGTGAAACATTGGGGTTGGCTTTTAATCATCAATCAGTATATTGATTCTTGGAGATTGCTCCCAGAGGTTTGAGTAAGTCTACATGCTCATCTTAGGTCTGGATGAACTTTAGTTTAGCAGTAAATGCCAGTACCAGTTTTCAGCTCATTCTGTTCTCTGGATCTCTGTGCCTTTAGAATCTCAAACAAATCACATCTGATGAATACTAACATAATCATATACAGTACACTGTGGTCCATTAGGAGAGCCTTTCTCTTGATTTTAGGGAGGATTTTTCAAGTTGTGTAGAAAACCTCCCTCCAGGCACCTTTGGCTTTTAAATATTGGTGTGTGCTGGTAGCTTTAGGCAGAAAACTCATTCATCCTGACTAGGGTTTTCTAGAGACATTCCACGAGTGCAGCTCCCTTTCAGTCTCAGTGATGTTCTGAGCTTTTTCAGAGACTGCTACACTTGCCAGTCTGTTGAGGGCTACTTTTTTTCCTGTAAGCCCAAAGAACCTCCTATAAGACTTCACTCAAGGCATCACTCTGCTGTGGTCTAACACCTCAATCAACGCTTTTACAAAGGATAGAAGAAGGCATGGAAATTGCATAACATTCTCTAGTCTTGGAATGCACCCTTCAGTCTTTGTCCAGGACCTATAGAAGGGCCTTTCTTCTGCAGGACTGCTTTAATGTAATTTGTAAATTCCTGACCTGACTAGAAGATGCTACCTATGTTCAAATGCTCTACTACAATACAAGATGCCTGACTATACCTCTGAATCCCTCAAATATGGCCTATTCCATCTCTTTCTCCTGACTTTTTTCCATTGTTCCATTCCAAAATTCCAATACTTTTAAGAAAATTTGTCAGCCTACCTGATCCTGCTCTCAAAGGTCATACATATAGATGAAGGTAGGTAATTGTAGTCTTCTACATCCACAAACAGAATTATGTGAGATCTTTTCAGAGTATCCAGAGATGGTCCATCTCTGGTTTTAAAGCAGCAGTGAATGCTACAGTCATTACCTATTGTAGAATCAAAGCAAGATTGCAGATTTCCACTGCCATAATCTCTACTAGTGTATTCTCCAAGTGCCATAGTAAGAGTAATCGATCTTAAGATTTCATCTTGTTTCCTTTATATTAAAAAAAAAGTTCTTATGTTTATATTTGGAATCTGGCCATTGTCATTGGCAATACCTACCAGAAAGGAAATGTTTATTTTAACTTTTGTCTGGGTAGGTCATCAAGCAGCCTGTTACCTTGTGGCCAGTATACAGTTTCTGCTTAAAAACTTAACACATTCTAGCACTCATTTGCTAATGAGGTGTGGTGGTCTTATGAATGACAAACTTATAACTTGTTTATAGGAAAAAGGAGACAAGTTAGAACACTAACTGTAAAATGGGTTTTCAAGACTTTTTAACCACCATTAATTTCCATTTACTTTTTTGTTTTTAAGGTTTTGCAATTCCTTGCCAGCTTATTCAGTCCAAAAGCATCAGGTGCACAGGATAATACACAGTAGGGTTTTACCTGTGTTGCTGCCATAGTCTCTGAAAAGACTGCAACATTACCAACAGCTAAACATGTCCTCACCCAGAATGTAAACTTCCTTTCCTGTCCCCTTGCAAGCACATGGCAGAGCATGCAGAAAACCACTCTTTTTAGTACATGCTATGCTTTATACTTCTTTGATATCATAAGATGATCATTCTCAAGGTTGCACTAAGTTGGACACTGAGTTTGAAAAGCAGTTTTTAGTGAGGAAGCAGAGTAATTCCCTGCCAGAGGAGCAGTTTGTGCTAAGAAATCCTATCCCAATAGTATTTAGAAGATAAAAGTTATGTGTTATAAAGTAGGCAAAGCACTGGAAAAACTCTATGATCTATAATGAACTCCACCAAATTGACAAAAATGTTAGATTGCACTTTACAACACTATACAGGAAGTCCCAAGACTAATTGGTTTCTCTTTTTTATACAATTGCATTTTCACAAATTGTTCTTGCTGTCACAGCAGGCCTTGGGACTATTTACATTTTTTTTTGCAAGCATTTGGACTATAATTCATGTTGAAAGATAGCTAATTCCTTGCACACAAACACCAAAGGAAATTATCACAATCTGAGAAGCTTCAGCTCCTGAGGCTTGTTTTAATTATAATAGGTATAGCAAAACAATTCTTAGGATTGACTTTTTCTTTTCTTTGTAATTGTGGGATCAGCAATTGTCATATTCAGAATTTTTAAAATTTGACTTTGAAGTTTCCTCTTCCTGTTTACCTCTTTTAAAACCCCTTTTATATACTTCTAATAGTATTAATTAATAGTTTACATGGCAGTTTGTTAGTACTTTCAAAATATATTTTAATTCATCTGAAGTTGTCAGGCATCCTTTGCAGCATCATGGTGTAAAAAATGATTAAATTCTCTGAATTATTTTCCTGTGGGAATATCTATCCTACAATGTAGAGGAAAGCAAAAAGAAAATCTATTTTCTGTCCTCTCATACCAAGAAAAACAAAGTCTAGGAAATGTTGCCTTTCTAACTTACTAATTACCTTTCTGAAGGAAACTAGTTCTCTCTGAAGTTGATGGTTCATGAGAGCTTCTCAGATCTAAGCAATGTCTGATCCGTGTAATTTCAATGAAAAATAAATCTAGATCACTAATTTTCCCCCCTCCATATATTCATCTTTTTCTGTCGATGAGTATAATAGAATTTATATTAAGAACATATCTACTTCTAACCTTACAAATCTGCACGATTTTCCTTCCTGCCCTTAAAAAAAAAAAAAAAAGAAAAAGAAAAAGATTTTTTTTCTCCTTCCCCTATCACTTCTACTTTGTTTTTGTTTCTGTTACTTTCATAATCTGCTCCATTTCTATGATTTTATTTTTCCAGCCTCCTTAAAGACTGCATCACAGTCTTTCAGGCTAACTCCCAGGGTATGATTCTTTTAAAAAAACATAATTCCAGATGATGCTATTTTCCACAAGATTCACCTGGAGAAACTGGCAGCCGATGGCATGGCTAGGTGCACTCTTCTCTAGGTAAAAAACTGGCTGGGTGACCAGGCCTAGGGAATGGTGGTGAAAGGTTGCATCAAGTGGTTGGCCTGCCACAAGCAGAATTTCCCAGGGATCCGTGTTGTTTAATATCTTTATCAATGACCTGGACAAGGGGATGGAGTGCACCCTCAGTGAGTTTCCAGGAAAAAACAAGCTGGCTGGTAGTGTTAATCTGCTTGAGGGTAGGCAGGTTCTGCAGAGAGATCTGGATCAGGCAGGATCAATGGGCCAAGGCCAGCTGGATGAGGTCTAACAAGCTGAAGTGCCAGGTCCTGCATTTCAGCCACAACAGCCTCATGCAGTTCTGCAGGCTGGGGAAAGAGTGGCTGGAAAGTTGCCAGTGGAAAAGGACGTGGGGGTGCTGATACAGGTAACTGAACATGGGCCAGCATGTGCCCAGGTGGCCAAGAAGACCAAGGGCATCCTGGCCTGGACCAGCAATAGTGTGGCCAGCAGGACCAGAGCAGTGATCATCGTCCTGTACTCAGCACTAGTGAGGCCACACCTCTATTCATGTGTCCAGTTTTGGATCTCTCAATGCAAGAAAGACCTTGAGGTGCAGGAGCAGGTCCAGAGAAGGGCAGCAGAGCTGGTGAAGAGTCTCGAGCACAAGTCCTGTGAGAAGCAGCTGAGGGAGCTGGGGTTGTGTACCCTGGAGAGAGGCTCAGGGAAGACCTCATTGCTCTCTACCACTGCCAGAAAGGAGACTGTAGCTGGGTGGAGGTTGGTCTCTTCTCCCAGGCAACCACCAACAGGACAAGAGGAAATGGCCTCAAGCTGCACCAGGTGATGTTCAGCTTGGACATTGGGAAGAATTTTTTTAAATGAAAGGCTTGTCAAGTCCCCATGTCTAAGGGCTTTTAGAAGACATGCAGATGTGGCAGTTGGGGACATGATTCATGGATAGCCAGTGCAGGGTTAATATTTGGACTCAGTTCTTAGAAGTCTTTTTCAGTGTAAAAGAGTCTTTTAAAAAAGAAAATAAAAAAAAGTACCTACCAAATTTGAAAATTAATTTAACCGTGCTTTATTTCATTTTTCAGTCTCAGAGAATAGGGAGCTTTGCTGAGAAAATCTCAGAGAATAGGGAGCTTTGCTGAGAAAATTGAGAGGATAGAATATTGTATGTCTCTCAGTATCTCACAAACTGTGCAATGACTCTAATACTTGAAATCTCTTAGCAATTTAAGGCTTTGAAATTCAAGTAACTGCTCTATTCCACAGAATCCTGAACTGCAAAATGTCCTGGTATCACACTGAGATGATCTGCTTTGCTAGGATGTTTAGCATCTAAACAGAGAAAATAACCTGTGCTGACCGACACAACCCAGTTTGACTTTTTTTAGGTACAGAGGCATGAACACGTCTTGAAATTTTTGTCTAAACTGAAGCTTAACGTTTTATTGAGAGGCTTTGACATCACATTGAAAAGTACAGAAGGTGAGAGGGTTACATGTCAGAGCCAGGAGAGATGCTTTAGCCAGGTAGACGGCTTTACAAATTCTCATGAATATCTGAGAAAATCTTTCAAAATCTTTCAAATGTAGAGGCGAATTCCTATAATATGTGGTTAAAAACGTACTTCCTACACTTGAGATGAGGCCATAGCACCATGTGATGCATGGTATCCCAGGCAGCTTTCACATCTGATGTCAGCCTGGCTTTGTTTCTTTTTCCTGGCACTTAACACTTTCAGTAATGTGGAAATGCTGGCAGGTTCTAGACTTTAGGATGGACTCCTAATCAGCACAGGCACAGAAATTTGCTTTGAAAATTAAATGCTTGAACATGTGACTACCAAAATATATATGCAAGCAAGTGAATTAATCTGGCATGTAGATCTCCTTGTTAATCAGGATTATTTATTACTATGCAAGTCAACCCATCAGAAATTTACAAAAATCAAGATGGTAACTCCACCCTGCTGCAGGTGTGTTGAACAAGACACAAAGTAAAGGCAGAAATTCAGGTGGGGGAAGCACCGAACAGCTCTTTCCTGGGAGCTACTCCACACAATTTCAGGTGTGAGAGACCATGATTGCTTAGGACACATACCTGGTTGTAGCTCTGGATGGCACCTCTGGCCTGACTGCTGCGGGATGGGAGCTGGGCAGATGCTGTTTCACCCAGGGCGAGGGTCTGGTTGCTGTGGTAGCTAGCTGAGTACTGGAAGGATCCTTCAGGTTTGGAATTGAGCTGGAGTGCACTCTGGGAGAGGAGGCTGGGCCCTGTGGGGACAGGATTTGAGAGTAGTCAGAAAGCCTCAGTGAAAGAGTGTAGCTGTATTATCTGTCAAGTGAGTCTTGAAATTATCAGATGTATCTGGCTTCAGATTTTCAGATTTTGACTTTTCAGCAATAAAAATGCATGCATTACTTGGTTTCCCTACCACTCAGTCATCATGTTCAAGCAACAGACCACATTGCTTTCTTTGCAAGAAGTGTATGGTTTTCACTGGTGAAGCAATTCTATGCCTGAACAAATCCAACCATACTATTTGGTAGAGAAGTCCTGCTTTTCAACTCAGAATAGTTGATGAGGGTTTCTTCCCCTTAAGGATAAGCCTTGTTTATTTATCTTAATTATATCCAGTTCTTCTGCCAGGGAAGTGCTAACTTGTCCCTCCCTAAGCCCCCAGCACATTAGATCTATTGATTACTGCCACTGTCCTGTACACAGAGTGATGTAATACTTTGGTGCCTGTAGGGATGGATGGCAGCCTTTGAAATATTAATTGCTCTTCTCATCATGCAGGACACACCCTGATCTCAGTGAATCTTTGACGACTATTTTTCAGCTATCTTATCTTCCCCACCACAGCACTGCACAGCAGGAGAGCCAAGTGCAGGCAGCAAGCCTAAACTGGGCCTGCCAGGCTGAAGGGCATGTCAGGACCATGAATACTTTCCACCTTGTTTAGTAGTTCTGTGAAACTGAAACATGTTCTAATCTTCATTAGGTTCACGTACAAGTGATTTAGCTTATCACATGCACTAGCAAATTTCACAGTTTTCCCACACAGGAATCAAGTGCACCTGCAGCAAATTTGCAGGTGACACCAAGCTGAGTGGTGCAGTTGCCACATCTGAAGGATGGGATGGCATCCAGAGGGATCTGGACAAGCTTGAGAAGTCCAGGGAGCATGGGAATTCAATGGGAATCATGAGATTGCCATTCAAGAATGGCAATCTCGTGAGGTTTAACAAGACCAAGTGCAAGATGCTACTCCTGGGTTAGGGTAAACTGTGGTATCAACCCAGGCTGGGGGATGAATAGATCAGAGCAGCCCTGCCCAGAAGGACTGGGGGGTGCTGGAATGGCTGGACATGACCCAGCCATGTGCACTCACAGCCCAGAGAGCCAAACATGTCCTGGGCTGCATCCAAGGCAGCGCAGGCAGCAGGGAGAGGGAGGGGATTCTGCCCCACTGCTCTGCTCTTCTGAGACCCCACCTGCAGTGCTGCATCCAGCTCTGAGATCCCAGCACAGGAAGAACATCTGTTAGAACACGTCCAGAGGAGGGCCACTAAGTTAGATGGAGCACCTCTACTATGATGAAAGGCTAAAAGAATTTGGACTTTTCATTCTGGAAAAGTAAAAGCTTTAGGGTGACCTAAGAGTGGCTTTCCACCATCTGAAGGGAACCTACAAGAAAGATGGAGAAAGACTTTTTATAAAGGCATGTAGTGGCAGCACAATGGCTTCACGTTGACAGAGTAGCTTTAAATTAGCTGTTAGGAAAAAAATTCTTCCCTGTGGCGGTGAGACAATGGCACAGGTTGTCCAAAGAAGACGTGGATAATCCATCTTTGTAAGTGCTCAAGGCCAGGTGGGATGGAGTCCTGAGCAACCCAGTCCAGATGAAAATATCCCAATCCACAGCTGGGGGTTTGGAACCACATGATCCTAAAGATTGTTTCTGACCCAAGCCATTCTGTCATTCCATGATTCTATGATACACAGAGAGCTACATTAAAGAATACATACTTAATCCTCTCTCTGTCTTCACTGGTGTTAGTCTCTTTCAGTGTCTGGGTCCAGGAAGCGAGATACAAGAGGAGGAAAAGGGTTATACCTTGGCCATTGCATAGGTTACTTTCAACCCAACAGCTGTCATCTGTAGCACATTCAGTGGCTCCACAGGGATGACAGGTTCATCTTCTGGTTAGCACTAACAAGCTCACGAGAGCACAGGTGACACAAGCCTTAAGAGATGTGAAATGATTACAGTGATTTTGCTCCTACAGAACATGTGGTAAGTTCAGTTTTAAACAGACTCACAATGGAAAAATTCCAATGAATTTACCAGAAATAACTTCCAGTACATTCCTGATACAAAGGCAGTTTTTATGACCTTTAAATCTTTGCTATGAGGATGTAAAGCTGTTCCAAAAAGATTTCCACTTAGAAAATGTGCAAACAACCCCACCCCCGAATTACACAGAGAGTATTTTTTCCTCTAGCCTATTTCTCAGAAATGGCAGAACCATAACAGCTCTTTTCCAAATCCAACCTGAACTGCTCATATTATAAACAAATCGTAGTAGACTATGTAAAAAGGAAGTGTTTGCATCTAAATATAGACTGGGATTTTGACACTATTTTACATATCAACACAATTTATACTGCAAAATCAACTGCATTCAGCAGAACTTTTGAGATACAGGACAAATTTAGAACTTAAGTTCTGGTCCCTATATTTTCCGTACAAGTACAGGAGGAGGTAGTGCTCTATGTATGCTGTGAGGCCAGTAAAATGTATCACATCCATAGGAGAGATGAACTTAATCCTCTATGGGTGCTTATAAATTGGTACTTTCTATTCCCTGGCTCTGCAAATAAGGTTTATTTAGCATTTTCCATTTAACTGGGTTTTTTTTGCAAAATTTCTTCTTTAATATTTTTTTTAATTTTAAGAGTATAAAGAAAATACATGCTTAGTTCTAAAGATATCTGTAGGATTTATTTCAATCTTTTGGATTTTGAATTTTCACTGAGAATTTTTCTGTGATCAAGTGATGAACAAGATCAAGTTCAGAAATTTCACAAAGGCATAACTTTCCCATGAGAAGCAAAAGTTGCAAGAAGAAAGCAATTTTTGTGCATGAAAGTGTTTGTACTCATTCTGAAAGTAATTATGCTGTGACATTTCTAAAGCTTAAATAATGATTAAACTATCACATGCTATGAATGCAATATGCTTAAATTTTCATTGCATCTGGCTTTCAAGTGCTGCTTTCATATTACTGTGGCTCACTAGGGGATTTACATTGCCAGCTAAAAACAAATACATGGGTTTCCTTCACCATTTAAACTTCCATGCACTTAAAGAAACTTATCCAACCCCTTGAAAAAAAGAATGTAAAAGGTTTGGCACGCATAGTTTGAAGTTCACTAAAATACTAGTTTTATTTAGCAATTTTTATTTTTTACCTTAACAAACAGTAATTAACAATTAAAACATATATATATTTCAATAATTACAAAGTAATTTCAGAGAGACAGATATTTTATATAAGCCTAGAATTTTAAATAAGCCCAAGCAAGTGTAGAATAGAGTAAACAGCAAAGCCCTAAATCAAGCATACAAACTAGAAGATACATTTGAGATCAAAGTGACCATGAAAAAACACGAGTTCGTTTTTTCAGGGACTACAAGCAGTCCCGCCTTGTCTGATAGGGAAAAGATGGATTGCTTTTCTCATTGACATTCTTGAGATTTCAATCTGAAGGTAAAACCAAACCTTCTAAAGAGCCTGCAGTTCACTCAGAAGAGGAGTTTGTGTCCTGTACACTGATGGCTCTTGACAATAATCTACTATTTCTTCCAGGCTAGAATTTAAACTCTGTTGATCCAACTGTTTTTCATTTGCTTTCAGAAGAGTTAAGGAAGCTGGAAATTCTCTATTTTCAGCTATGCACTGGAAATCACTAGTTAACTGCTAGCACAATTCAGACTTAGCAGTTCCCTTAATGAGATATAATTACTGCAATTGTTCCATTTAAAATGAACACTTCAGGGTTCATAAGATTTAGTGTAGCAGATATCGATGATCTGTAGTATCACTTTAAAATTTTTGGTTTCTATTTGAGGGTATGTGGAAGATATAAATACCTGTTCTCCCTTACGCTTTCACCACCACATTAAAATAAATTCCTGTGAAAGAATATTGATGTTGGATTATTCCGGGTTGATAGTACCCATTTTTTACTCATTCAGTTTGTGCCATTCTCTTCCTTTATTAAAATAGTAGAGGTAAGAGTGAAAATTCAGGAAATTGAGTCAGAGCCATCATACTGCAAGAGACACCTCTGTGGACTGACTTCAAATGATGGAGCAGGGTAGAGCAATCAACTCCTTAATTTGTCTCCAGTTTGGAGAATAGATACTGCACACAATACCTTCCGCTTCCTCTTAACCTTGAGCAGAGCACTGAGCAAGCCTCCCTGTGTTGCTCACTTTGGCCTCTGTAACCCAGCTCAGAAAGGAGCTGGAAGGAGAGGGAGAGGGTGGTGTCTTGCTTGGGACACAAAGTGCACTTAAGTGGGGGAAGGCTGCTGGAGCAGAGAAGACCAGGCAAAAAGAGAACAGATGTAGATGGAGGATATGCTTAAATCAAGGAGCCAACCCACAAAGAAACTTCAGAGGTGATGGAAAGCAGAGGACTTTTCTAGGAATCCGAGAAGGGAAACAGGAATTTCTTCTGTGGTTTGGAGGCCCAGGTGCTGGCAGGCATTGACCGGGTTGGAGGAAAATGTCTCTCCCATTCAGGCAGTGAGGAGAGAGGGCTTTCTGTGAAGGCCTTTCTCTTAGTTTATATTACCCACCCCTCCTACTGCCAGTTATTCTGGTTATTATATGACTATTATTTTTTTGTATTTCAAGACTTACTAGCTTAAGACATATGGTGCCTGAGAGTACCTTGCACACTTCAAGCCAAATGGGGAAGAGGAGCAGAAACAGTGCTCTCTTACTAAACAGAGCAGCACTGAAGCACACACTTGCCGTCTTCCTGTCACACTGCATTTGACTAAATAGTCTGCCATTGCACTGACCAGCTTGGTTCTTGGCACTGCATGTGGCATCAGTGTAAGCTGGTGAGCTCCAGGCTCCAGACAAGCCACAGCAGAGGAGAGTTTCCACAGCATCTGCCTGCTTCTGCCAAGGGGGAACTGAGGGAAGCAGGAGGCCAGGGTTGTAGGGTGAGCCCCATGGCACAGCTGGGGC